CCTGGGTGACTTTTCTGAGTTACATTTTCTCTGACGCGAGTGCCACTTCGAAGGAAAACGAGTGTTTTCTTGTCCCTCTGCTGACCGCTTAATTTCTCTTTCGATAGTGTGACAAACCTTTGGACCCTGCTCCGAGAAAAATGCACACATGGACAATTTTACTTACGATTTTAGGTGTTAGGAATCCTCCCTGGTCAAGACAGTCTCTGAGCTCCCTTTTGGGAGATATGTTTGACAAAGTATGACTTTGATTTCAGGTAACTTTTCAGGCACCAAGCTATTATAAAAAACAGCACATTTGCACTGGGTGGACTACAGCTGTCCCTTCATGTTGCTTAGTCACATTTTAGTTTCCTTACGGATTAATCTAACCTGATTCTTTACTGTCGCGCAGGAAATGATCGATGAAGCTGATCGAGATGGAGACGGAGAAGTCAACGAGCAAGAGTTCCTGCGCATCATGAAAAAGACTAGCCTTTATTAAGATCCTTCTCCCCTTTCCTGCCGCAGGCACATGTCACCAGAGTTAGTGCCTGCCATCGTGTGAAACTTGGTTTTTGAGAACACAAACTGTCCCCCCCCTCACTTACCTCCCCGTATAACTTTAGTAATAACCTCAAATCTATGTTAGGTTTTTGAAAGCGATTTTTGATAGTAAAGCTCTTTGCAAGGTGACCCGCTGGTGACTTTAATTTCCCAAAGCAGAGAGCACATTCTGCCTTGTATCTCTTTACTCTTGTCGTGCACTCCCACGTTTATGCCACCACAGAAGGACTTCTTAGACAAGCACATGTCGTACCTGGGTCACCACAAGCAGCAGGCATCTCTTTGATGCTTCCGGTTTTAATTGACACCTGAGTGCAGCTTCCTCTTTTAAAAAAAATCCAGTGAACTCTCTCACTTGCACTTGGATATGTGTTTGTGCTCTTTCTTTGTCTTAAAAATAAAGCCTTTCTTATTTTGAACTTTTGTTCTCTAAGGATGACTTCTTTAGCCTTGCCTATGAGTTAATCTTCTAAAGCATTGCGTTGAAGGCAGCCTGGTAGATCCCAAACTCCTGACCAGACTGTGGGCAGAAGACGAAATTATCCTTTGCTACTGGCACAAATTGGTTCTTGCCTTGGGAACTGGTCAGTGTGTAAAATTAGTAGAATTTCCATTTCACTTAAGCCTGAATGATGCCCTAAAAATAGTTTTGGCAAGGAGTAAGGCCAAAAAAGAGTTACTGGTAATTTGTGCTTGGACAGATCGGGGAAAGCCAGGTTGAATTCTGGTCAGTGTATTTGCTGGACAGTGTCTCTGAATCTTGGTGTCAGGTTGGGGCTGAGTAACCTTGTTCAGTTCCCTCCTAGCTCCATACAAGGTGACCTATAAGAGAAGCCCTGGCAGGTAGCATTAAGTTTTCCGCCCCAGGCCGAGGGTGGGGAGCCAGAAGGGGCAAGGGGTATGGAAAATGAATAAGGACGGAATGCTTATTAACCCACACACAGCCTGGAGCGAAGGGCTTTCAAAGGACTGGGGGTGTTCTAGTTCCAGAACAGGGTTGTCTGATGTAGCTGACAAAAAGAACATCTAGGTCAATTCGAATTTCAGATCAACAGTGTTTTTTTTTTTCCAGGACAAGTATATCCCATTTAGAATTTGCTATCTTTTATTCATTGTTGACCTGAAATTCCACTTTGCCTGGGTGTGACTGTACTAGATGGGGAGCATGTTAAATAGAGGTGACCCTGGGCCTCTTCCCTGGACACCAGCATCCTAGAGGACTTGAAGGCCCCCAGACGAGTCTCCTGCAGAGGGACGGTTCCTTGAGGAACACCGGGGCATGTGCGGGGGAGCCCAGAGCGGCCTGAGACCTGGGTTCTCACATGGACTCCACCGCTTCCTGGCTGGGTAATTTGGGGGCAAGCGACCTCCCTGGGTACCTCGGATTCCTTGTGTGTGTGTGATGGGGACAACAGTTGTGCTTAACTCAGAATCACTGGCGGTCCAATGGAAGCGCACATAAAAGACCTGGCTTCGCGGTGTCCAAGAAGGAGGCATTTCAGAAGTGTTCGTTCACGCGGTCATTCCTTTGGTATGGTTGTCACATAAGCTTTGTTGTTAAAGGTGGGTCCACGAAGCTTTTATGATCACTGCCCCCAAAGTTGAGCTGATAGCATATCCTGGCAGGATTTGACCTTTGTCGTATAACTGTTTCTAATAAGAGGCACATGATCTGATAAAAGACATAGAATATTGGAAAGGAGTGAATAGACCGGGCCCTACTTCCAATATTACTGTCGACTGTCACCTTGGAAACATTCTTATCTCCTGGTTAATGTTTTCATAAATGAAAAAGTCAGAAATCTCTTACTGGGAGGGAGAGTGGCAAGCGACATGTTATCCCTGAGAACCAACATAAGCATAAGATGTTGGTCATATCCGTGCCCCGCGGCCATAAAGATGGAGGGGATGGGAAGGATGGGGAGGGAATGGCAGGAGAGGTCAGTGCAGGCGCTGATGATGTTGAAAGTTGTAGAGAGAGTGGAGGGTGATGGGGAGGGAGAGGAGCAGGAGTCAGTTCACCACGGGGCTGGAGCAAGAGAGGCAGGGGAGTCGGGAGGACAGAGAAGTAGAAGAAGTTAGTTTCTGTGGGGCTGGACCAGGGAGATGGAGGAGGAGGGGTGGGTAGGGAGGGAGGGAAAGGCAGGGTAGTTCAGCTCAGGTGGATGGTCTACAGAGCTGGAGGGGGTGGAAGGGGATCGGCAGGGAGAGGGAGACGGAACAGGGGTCAGCCCTCGTGGGGGGACCAGGCAGGTGGAGGGGGAGTAAGGTGAGGTGGGGCGGGAGAGGTAGCAGAGATCAGATCAACTG